CTCTCTCTCTCTCTCTCTCTCTCTCTCTCTCTCTCTCTCTCACAATGTAACTTCTCTCGATGGAATTACAAACCATAGTGGCGAGAGCACAAAGTTGATGGAAATCGTGGCACGAACAATATAAATTTGATTTCCTAACGAATTTCACGAGTTCGCCAGTCACTCACATCGTGTTTGCTCTTACTCGACTTATGTCGATTCAGTCGCTTCTAAATTAGTACAGCGCTTATTAAATGTCACCATCGAAGAGATACCTTCATCTCTTTCGTCTCTTTTGCACCGATAGTAATATAATAATAATAATCTATCTTTAAGTCTTTAGCTAGACATCTTTCTAAGAGACACGCAATAACGAATAATTTAATCATTTAATGATACGAGAAAACGGGGCACGAGGGGACATAGTTATATTGACGAGTTTGGTAATTTTCTTTCTTTTTTTGGTTTCTTTTCTTTCCCATTTCCCTCTCACATTCACGCGCAATAATAATTATGTGATCCATCGTTTTTCTTATAATTGGATTTAGATTAAGAGTGATTATCTTTACGGAACGATGTTGTATTCATCAGCCTCCTCCGATACTGATACTTTACTTTAATCGCGTCTTATAATTTACTGGATATATTTTCTTTTTTGGGTAAGATCAATAAACCCCATCTTCTCTCTCTCTCTCTCTCTCTCTCTCTCTCTCTCTCTCTCTCTCTCTCTCTCTCTCTCTTTCTCTCCGTATTTAATATCTCTCTTACAATATATACCATTGAACGCGCGCGATGACGTATGTATATTTAACGGCGATACTTTACGCTTTATAAAAATGTGGAGCCCAGCGAACCGCTATCGAAGACTAGAAAAAGTCAAATTCCAAATAGCACTGACGATCGTTTACCACACATATATCCTTATAGAAATGACACCATTTCGATTAATTACTTAATTTCTAAAATAGATAACGCGCTCGAGGCACAAGTAGCTTCTTTCTCTTGCTTCTTAAATTTTCTTTAAAACGGCGGAACGATCTCACATTAAAAAAAAATCATGTGTTTAACGATAGAGAGAAAGAAAATAACATGCTGAATACGTATTTTTTGATATTTTATATATCTCTATGTAAAAATTAGATTTAACTTTACCTTCATTTCAACTATTATTTTAAATAAAAAATTAATTCTACGATGACAAGAGTATGAAATACGTAAGATCGCTCCGCGTTTCTAATTTACCTAGGAAAAGAATCGAATTTTTCGACAAATAACGAAGAATAAATGAAACGCCTTGCGTGTGAGAAAAACTATAGAAAAACTATAGAAAGGCACGATCCACTATGGAATCATGGTGGAACCATGATATAGATACAAGATATAATGGAACATTTCCTTTCCTCTCCGTGAATGGAAGAGCGATAAGATAGTGTACTGGCCCAGCTCCAAAAGATTACGCCATATTTGGACGATTTCATCGGGATATCGATTAGAACCGAAATAAATTCGCATCTTCCATGGAAACGTTCGCTCGTTTCATATATTTCGGTAAGCTGCCAAGTTCTATACATATATATATGCGCATCGTTTTCAATATTTTTAAAATTTCAATAAATATAACGAATATATTTGTATTTATATATATATATATATATGTATATACATCATATTGGACTAAACGATAACACCGCCGAATATACAATCTCTCTGTTTCTGATCCCGTCGATGAAACCATCCAAGAAGAAAGTATATTTGACATTATATTCTGCAGATCGCTGTTAAAAACTAATTATCGAATACAGTTTATTCGTGACAAATGGTAACGTGGAATCGCAAGCGTATACTGTATATAATTTTATCTCACGTGCATGCATTCACTTTAAACATTCTTGACAGAGTGAAAGACGCACTAGTGTTTGCCGTAAAATTAGATTTTAGGTTTTCTTTTTCTCGAAAAGTCGGAAAGAAAATCTCTTCTCTCTCTCTCTCTCTCTCTCTCTCTCTCAAGATTAAAACATGCTATTATATATATGTATATATAAAACTAGGATATAAAATTCCACGATAAATCTCTTATAAAAGCAAAGTCGCGCTCGTGCTGTATGGATCATGATTTCATCGCGCTTATGTAAACTTTTGAGATTTTGTGCATAATTTTTAACCCGATTTTGCAAATCTCGTCGACACTAGAGTTACGAAGAACCCGCTCAAGCCGCTACTTTTAGTAGGTCAGCTCCTAATAATGAACCTCACGACAGTCACCCATCATGCTGACAATAATAATGTTACAACGATATACGCTTTTAATAAAATTTGACAATGCGAGATTTTTTTTATCGAATAGCAGCGTAACAATCATGATTCTTGTTTGTGATCTAATCTTAATCGTGGCACGTAGCAGTTAGCACCTAGCTGCCGCGTATGGTAAACGTTTCATATGCTCTTTTTGGAAATACATAACATTCGTGAATTCCAAAGCTAATAGGATCGTTGGATAATAATCTACTTTTAACTGTTTTCTACTGTCAACATTACTATGTAGGCTGAGAAAATCGCATTGCCAACCCGGATTAGTAATCTCTGATTTTAATGCAATTCCTTATAAAGAAAAGAAAAAAACATTGTTTTAATTTCAATATTTCAGACATATTTTTAGTCTTACATTGTTTCGCTATTAATTTTTTCTTCTTCTTCTTCTTCTTCTTCTGTATTAGAAGGAAAGAAACTAAACCAAAATTAAAGATGGCCGAATTAATGCAACTGAGCCGCGGATCGCGAAATTCTGATTACCATAATAGCTATAGTAATTATAGCTCCTTGTTAACAATTACTTTGAATTTCCTTGTATTCTCATTTACGTTACGCTAATTTGAATTTCACACGTCTCTATTTTCACTTTCGTTATTTAAGGCTACACATAATCGGCGACGTGGTCCACAAAGAATATTGCTAAGGACAAAACAATAATGTGCCTCGCGAACAACGTGCTGCATTTATTATTTTCCTTCTTTTTTATTTTCGACGATTGGCGTTTATATCGCGTAACATCGCGCATCGTATTGTTTTCTTATACTTATACGCTAGCTGCATACCTTAGGCAGTGCTACCTATAGTTATATTTAGACAACTTTTGGGTCCGAAAATTTGGCTGTTAAACTACAGTA